CATATGAACCTTCCCCGTCAGGTCACCTGGACCCCGGAGTGTGAGCAGGCATTCCAACAGCTGAAGAACGCACTTGTTAATTCTCCCGTCTTGGCAGCCCCTGATCCAACTAAACACTTTCTTGTCCACACAGACGCTTCTATGTTTGGACTGGGGGCAGTACTGAGCTAGGTCGGGGCCGATGACTGAGAACATCTCGTGGCTTACATCAGTAGAAAATTGTTACAGAGAGAAGTAAGCTACGCCGCCATCGAAAAAGAATGCCTGGCTGTGGTGTGGGCCCTGAAGAAACTACAACCGTATTTGTATGGACAGCTATTTTCGTTGCTCACGGATCACAACCCGTTAGTATGGTTGAACCGGGTGGCAGGGGACAATGCCAGGCTGCTGTGTTGGAGTTTGGCGCTGCAGCCCTTTGACTTTAATATACAATACCGCCCGGGAAAACAGAATGAGAACGCTGATGGGTTCTCGAGACAAACTGAATTGGAAAAATGATCCGTGAACATCCCCGGACATCCCCAAGTCGATCCGTGCTGGATCTGACTGTGTATGCCGGCTTGTGGGCAAGGGGGAGCAGTGTAGCAGAACCCCTTTTAGGCTGTGCCATCCATTTCGTTTATTGTTGGCACTGCAGAGGTTTTCCTGTGCCTGGAGTACACAGAATTACATGTAACTATATGTGGCCATACTTTGTTCGGTATAAGAATATCAGCTTGCATGTGAACGACTAAATTCACCATACGAACAAAGTACCGAACAACCGGACCACCCTGATGTGAAGAATGGATGTAATTTACCTCCCTGATTGCTTTTCATATTCCCTTGTACATACGAACACGCTGCTATATTCTCTGGGTGACCGCCATTTCGGCAGCCTAACACATGGACCTCCAGGGCTTCAGAAAACATTGATGAAAACACACGAACGGCCCGGCGTGGGACTTTTGGGGCACGAATGGAGACCTTTACCTTCCTATAACTCCCGAACCTCTGGTCTGATCTGGGTGATTTTTGGATATGTTTCTCACCCAGATCAGGGCTACATTTAAAGGTATATCACCCATATTTGGGGTACATCTAAAAAGTGGGGAAAAGTATGCCTTGTATAATTGTGTTAATTGCTAATCTAAGGGGAGGAGATGTGTGGGAGGTAACGTCTATGGGATTGGTTACTGTACTAATTGTGGTGAATCCCTCCCTTGCATGGGAGAATCTCATAAAAGCAGGAATGTTGCCATTAAACTTCAGTTCTACTCCTGATACTGTGTGTCGTCCAGTGATTGGGAAAGGTGATGGGATACTATTGGATTGTATTGCTGATTGTGCTGGATATTCTCTTGGATTTATTACTTGTTCCTGCATCCTCTTAATATATTGGTGGAGTTCAACTGTGGAAAATCAGCTCTCCGCTACAGTGATGCATACTTTTAAAGTTATGAATAATGTGGAAAAAATGTATTTCTTTGCCTGTGAAAATTACATTACCCATTGTGTAAGGTAATTGTATCACAGGCAGAGGGGAGGATTTTGTGTGGGAGTGTCTGAGTGTATTGTACATGTTTTCCAAAGCCCTATGGGTGGTACTAATGTGTGTATATAAGAACAATAAACCCACAGTTCTGTCTGTTCACTGCTTGACCCTCAACACGGAGCTGTCTCATTCTTGGGGG